GCAGATGAGTCTGCATTTGTTTACCGAGCACCGTACATACAAGTCCCAGATGAGTCTGTTTTTGTTTACCGAGCACTGTACGTAGTCGTACATACAAGTCCAACTGATTCATAATCTGACTTACCCCATACATTCCAAACACCATTCTACATGGAGACTTCAGATACATAGCAATATCCACGTGCAACAACTCGGGGGAACTCTCATCTGGCCTCATCTGACCCCTCTTCTCTCACACAGCTTTTACTCGCTCAGGGCTAATACATATGGTAAGACTTTGAGGGGCAGTCTCATCTGGGTTCATCTGCCCCTCCCTTCAACACTCTTTCTGCGTCCTCAACCATTAAACATAAAAAGCAGAAATCTGACTTCTCTCACTTTTCCTATATATCACACACCGTTGTCAGTCAGGCAATACTATTCCACCATTCTCATTGTTTTCCAACAAATGTAATTGTTAATTTTGAAACAGAAATCTTAAATAATCATCCATTAAGAGTGGTATGTAGCATGTTCTTCCACTGAGCCTCCAAAACTTGGTCTTCGGCAATACTGGCTTCAGAATATTGCCGAGTGTTGTGCAGAAGGGACACTAGGTAGGTGTCCCATCTAAAGATCAGACGGGCATGATCAAGAAAGAGCCCATGATATAAAGACTCCAAGGTATCGCTGCACTCCTCCCAATTTGTCTTGTTAACAATCCGAGATGCCTTGCTGCCCTGCACTAATTCTATTGGAAGAACCATGGCGGTTGGGTCCCATCCTGAGTATACAAAAAATAAAGAAGTATAGTCAAATTCAGTGTAACAGAAAGAACAATCAAGTATCATCCAAAGAAAGGCTAACCTGACTGTGCAAGCATGAACACCTTTTGTATTTTGGTGTCCGTTTCCAGAGACCATCTAAACATCTGTCGTACCTCATGTGCAATCCGCCTCAGTTCCTCTTCGAACCGGCAATACAACAAATAAGCTTGAATGCCCTTCTGGGTGTCTGCATCCACCGGCCAATTTTCATCTGGATGCGTGAGATGCCCAGAGTTCCAGAAGGCGTCATCCAGAGTCCATGATTTGCTTCCTCCAG